AAATGTATTTATTAATAATAAGCCAATCTTCAACAGAAACATGGTGCAAGCTGGAATATGGTATTTTCAAGATCTGTTTTACAGTAACAGTGTTATAGTTCCTTTTGAAATATGGGTACAAAGAGGAGTTAAATTTAATAATTTGTGTCTTTGGGTTGCATTGATCAATATAGCAAAACGAACAAAAATTCTGCAGGCTAATGATCGACAAAGTATCCAACTAACATCTATGCATTCAAATCAAATTTACTGGAGACTTCTGAAACAAAGATATCCTAATTCTGGTGGTAGAATCTGTAGCTATCTTGAAAATAAAAATATTAACTGGGATGAAATATTTCAGCTTCCACATGTAGTAGCAATAGATTCATACACGAAGATTTTTCAGTATAAAATTCTGCACAATTTTCTTGCTACCAATTATTGGTTACACAAATGGAAAATTAAAGATAGTGACAAGTGTAGTTTTTGCAATGTGCATAGTGAAACTGTTTTTCATATATTCTGTGATTGCACCCCTGTAAAATTGTTTTGGGCAGACTTCGTCGAATTGTGGAACAAAACTAGTAACATGCATTTACAGTTGACAAATGATTGCAAAACAATTTATATATGATTGTAGACAAGACAGAAAAGTATCCTCTTTCAGACTATTCATTTGTAAAATTAAACAACGTTTTAATTTAGAAAAACGTCTTGACAGATTCAATGACAAAAGTGTCCTATTCAGAAACCGGTCCACTAATGCAATACTTAGCGTATTAGTTTATATTTTTATATGTAGCTGTTGGCATACAGCGTTGGCTGTTTTTTTTTGTATTTTTTTACTCTCAGTATAATGATTTGAAATGATTCACCAATAACATTACAATACGATACAATAAAGTTACAATCACAAGCTCAATTTACCTTTAAGAGAATTAACTGTATTTGAAAATGTGTTAATCCAATCATGGAAGCCTGGAAGGTACTAACGGAAGGAGCCACGACGCCTCTCAAGTGGCCATTTAAGCTTCTTAACAGGCTTATTTTCTTTTGTTTCAACCCAAGTTAATCCTGATGAGGACATTGTCTAGCTCATCTTTGAAGTCCATGATAGTTTGCGATTGTTTACACAAGTAACGAGTTAGCAGAATATGATACAACCCCGCCGATTTTTAAATGTGACCATAAAATGTATGCGCATTATGAAACTACGGTCATCATACATGCGCACTTGGTTGGTTTAGGTGTGAAAGGTCAAAATACGTATTTCACAACCAGAAATTCAACAGATTAACGTTTGACTTCACAGATTTCACATGTTTTAGTTATTAGTAACTGTAACAAGAACAAGATTTCGAGTGTCTACAACAAAAATTCCTAAGGACTTCTAAAAAATATTATCACAGAGAAAGTGTCTAGGCATGCCCTTCTTTTGATACTATCTTTTCTGGTGGTGTTCGCCGATGCCCGGTGGTTGAAAATTTCAATAGTTTCGGGCGTCAAATCCACGCAATGACAATGGTTCCATTGAATAATGCAGTCGTTATTATGACAGGCAATCATTGATTAAGTCTCATCACCGTTACAAATACAAAAAGATCCACGATAGTTCATCAGTTCTTCTCCAATCGATGTTATGTCTGCTAATTTTTCATTAAAGTTCGCCAAGATCTCCGGAAACAACAGCATTCAAACTTCCGTTAGTACCTTCCATGATCCAATAAGGTACTCTCCAATAATTAATAACCATTGACATTGGCACATTCCACATGATCAAATGTTATTATATAATTACACTCAACAAGCGCCACTGGAATATCAGTTACTGAACTGATTTTGTTTACACAAGTAACGAGTACATGTTTAATTATTATTTATTTAAAAGAACGGGAATGCAGTGTTTATGTCGTGAAATAAATTCAGTTCCAATAGGGCAGTTGCATCACAGTAGTATTGTTAAACTCATTGGTTGAACACAGTTGGAAGAACAAATATGTTTTGTTTTGTTTTTTCCCCTTTTTTTTTATTCAACAAATATATTTACATTTGCTTCTTCAATAGTTTTTATCGTTTTATGTGGTCCAATTGATGGCGTTGAAAGTTGGCGTAGGTGGATTTTCAATGAAAATATAAGTCCCGAAAAATATTTGATGATCATTTTTTGAAATTTTGAACCCCAAATAACCGCCCACCAGGTGAATTTATAGCAGAATCTGGTATATGTGAAAATGAGTGCCATTTAGAATCAGAATAAATCAGAAAGAAATGCATGTCAATAAGTGGTATGTTGGCATGTGATGTGTTACTATACCTGACACTGAATTGGGCATTTGTCATGATACCATGCTGAATTTAGTTACAAGGTTAGAATGTTAGTTATGTCACTAAACTGGCCAAACAAAAAGTTGATTGTCATATCCCTGACTAAAAATCATTGTCAATCATAATAACATGTAAAACAATGATGTCAGCATAATTGATTAGCCAATCGTAAGTTAGACTAACCCATGCAGGGTCATTCATAATTTACCGGTAAATGTAGCTATGAAAATAAAGCAAGATTGTGGTGAGCTTGATGTATATAACCCATCATTTTCGTCAGCTGAACACCAATCTTTTGTTTGCTCAATAGTTTCATCACTATTAGCAAAGATTTGGTTGCATAATGTGGGAAATAATAGTTACCCCAAAACTGTAATCGGATAATTGCTAAATTCATTATCCAAAACAATAATTATTAGACATGGTGACCATTTGAAGATTAATATGCAGTATGTCAAAGAAACAAAGCCACCCCAACACTGAAGCAGGTCAAAATTAATGGTATCATTGTGAGTACATGTGAGGGCATACATTGTGAGGTTACTTATATAGTCAAAAATATATTGGTGAATACGATTATTGCATGCTGTTACTGAAATTTGAGTTATTTTGACCAAGAAAATACCTGTATTACATATGTTAGCATATGCACTACTTAAAAAGCAAACACGATAGGTGTCAGTAACTACCAGAAACATAAAGTTCACTGTAATTTAGCTGTGAGTGAAGATTTAATGTTCCACCAAAAATGATGTACTTGGTGTAGTATATATATATGAGGTATGTAAATGTGTCGAAATGGGCGTAGTGCGAGTGGTTAGTGCTAGTAGCACTAATCGGAAAAGGACCAGATCTAGTGCTAAAATGGCACTAGATCTAGTGCTAAAACGGCCTAGATCTAGTTGTAAAATGTACATATAGTGCAAGTGGCACTGACATCCCGTAATTGTCCGAAAATAAATATTTACGTAAAATTGTTGTATCTTTCATTCATTGGAAATGTTCTGCAGTGGGAAAATTGAGAATGTACAGGAATGTCATTGTCCACGTTTGTCGTAATAGACCTTTGAAACAACGCGATCGGCCGGGAAACTAGCTCCATGGATGGTGAAACTGCAGGTCAAGCTTCGCAATTTTTACAAATTGTGAATAGATACACTGTATGAAATGGTATTGTGTGGAAGTTTGTGTTTTCAGCTTTCAGGTGTATGTAAACTTGTAACTCATATGTAAATGGTGGAATTCAGCATTGATTTTTTTTTTTAAATCGCTGAAGTGCCGTTTTATTTCTAGTCAGCGCCACACTCAATGAAAATAGATCTTCAATGAAATTATGATGCCATATATGAACTTAATAAAATTGTGTATACTCCTAGTCTAAGTCCCGGGTCCCTGTAAAACTCTTGAAATCATGTTCTTGTTACAGTTGCGAATAATTAAAACATGTGAAATCTGTGAAGTTACGAATTCGTCTGTTGAATTTCCGGTTGTGAAATATGTGATGACCGTAGTTTCATAATGCGCATATATTTTATGGTCACGTTAAAAAAGGCAGATTTTTCGGCAGTTTTTAATTTTTTTAATGTTTTGGCGTAATTTTTCGGACATTTCAATCTTTCCTGACGCCTAAAATAGTCTATTTAAGTTTTCATTCAAGAGCGTGTTTATTGTTACTAGCATGAATGGGTAAGCTTTGTTTTGGACAAAGAGCTGTTATCACTGTAAACAATGTTAAATTATTCTTCTAATGCTCAGTTCATATTTTGAAAACAACTATTTTTTTATTTGAAAAAAAATCATGCCATTTTCCCATCAAAATCCAAGCCAAAAGATTGTACTACAACATCGGCAAATCTCTTTCGCGTTGCGTTGTGTGCCTTATT